ATGGGAACTCAAAGATTTAACCGTATTCAAGCTAGATGACTTAGAGCTTGTTTGGTGAGTATTAAAATCAACTTAAAATTGAAAACTAGCTGTTGGAGTTGACTTTTATTAGACGAGTGAGATCCAATAATGGTTATATTTTTAATTTTAATTGAATTTTAATTCCTTCCAAACAAGCTCTTAGGCTCCAAAATTTAGATACACAATCACTCGACATCTTGACAAATAAAACGTTTTCCTAAAGCCCAACGATTTGACCCTATTTGGTTTAGCTAATAGAGAGCAACATATCGACATCTCAATTTAATTATTTTTATTTTACTTATCAATAATCCAAATTACAATTAAAAACTATTTATTAAACTATTTTACTTGATGATATTTCCCCTAAAACTATTACAATTTTAATAAAAAATTTGTGAAATTGAACGAGATTATTTTTCATTTATTAACAATCAATTAATATATACATGTAGCAAAAAAAAATGCAATATTTTCTAAAAATATAACTATGAATGACCAAATTTGCCTCTGATTAAAGTTTGAAGAGATGATAAAGAATGGACCCAATCATAATCATGTACTATATCTTGAAGATTAATTATTTAATTATATAATCCAAACTTTATCTACGACAAGATTGTCTGTTTATTATAAATGATTTAATGATTTATTTTCATGAGATGCTTTTCTTCAATCCACTTGTATTAATTAACTTGATTATTATAGTACCGTGGTACCCATTTGTAATTTTTCTATGAATGACCTAAAGTTAAGGAGGATTTGACAAAATTTGAAACACGCATACACGAGGCAATTGTCTGAGTGTTTCGATTATACATCAACCGCGTGATACGATGGGAACTCAAAGATTTAACCGTATTCAAACTAGATGACTTAGAGCTTGTTTGGTAGGGATTAAAATCAACTTAAAATTGAAAACTAGCCGTTGGAGTTGGCTTTTATTAGACGAGTGAGATCCAATAACGATTATATTTTTAATTTTAATTGAATTTTAATTCCTTCCAAACAAGCTCTTAGGCTCCAAAATTTAGATACACAATCACTCGACATCTTGACAAATAAAACGTTTTCCTAAAGCCCAACCATTTGACCCTATTTGGTTTAGCTAAAAATTGAAATTTTAATAGGTTTATAAAAAAAATGATGAAATATGTAACTGAAAAGTTGAAAATAAATTTTAGAAAATGGGGCCAAATCGAGACTTATGTAAGATCCCTCAAATTTCAAGAAATTTATCTTTAAATAGTTTTACCATAACAATTTTCCATAAATTTAATGTACTACAAAAAATTTGTCGTAAAGCAGACAACACTCACCGAGAAACTTAGGATGAACCACTGTTTAATAGCAACTTTTCCACCTTAAACATTCTTAGTCACATTCACACGCATTGGTTCGTTCTTCATTCCCTACCTGTCTTCACTTCTTTTTTCCCTTACCCCACGCGTTCAACTTGTTTGGTAGGAGAGAAAACCATAGTTTTCAAACGTTCAAGTCATCTTTAATCACTTATCAATCAGTCGATTCTTGTCCAATTCATCACGTTCTTATTTGGACTCATTGACAAGCAAAATTCGACTAGTTTTCACTCTGATTTAGTCTTCAAATAAACTATACCAAAAATGATAATTTTCTTTACTAAAGAATCTTCATTCTTATCAAATGAATACAATTCTAATAAGAGTACACATCCGAATCAAGAATTTTATAAGAACTAATCGAAATAAAACTTTATTAGACGAGACCTCACTACATATATATCAAACACATACTCCTTCAGTAATTTATATATTTTCGTTAATTGATCAAAAGTCGATTGTTTGACAATAATTTAACAAATTTTAAAAAGGATAAAATGGTCTTTTAAACTCTAATTAATTAAAAGTCGATTGTCTTTCAAAAATGTACAATGTGGTCCCAAATCTTTAATAAATGTGTGCGAAACCCTCTAAAGATTTCAATAAAAAATCTATCAATTGATCAAAAATATTCGTCTTCCTCTATCCACCCAACATCACCCATGGAACTAACCTCTTCTACCTTGATCGATGAGCGTCACCATAGTCACCATCGAATGAACGGCAGCATTAGCCACAATCGCCAGTGGCTCATTTCCTTCGTCACTACTTACTCTATTTTCCTTTTCCCCATCCTTGTCATATCCGTTTTCTCATCCTAACAAGAACCTTTAAAAAGGGTAAGGAAATAAATGATGATAGATAAAATTATCTTCAAAACCAACAATATCGATGGTAGCGGAGGTGCCCCCACTTACCAATGGATGGGGTTGGGTGGGTTAGGGTTTAGGCTTATGGGTTGGATAAATCGGGAAAGATGAATGTTTTAAATTTTATTTATTATTTCCGCTTCTTATTTTTTGGTTGATTGAATTTTTTTGTGATGAAAATCGTTAGAGGTCTTTCCTCTATACATTATTAAAGGTTTCGAAACATGTATATATTTTAAAAGTTTTGGACCTTCAATGTAAATTTCCCGTGTTATAAATAATTTAAGGCTAGAAGACCATTTCCCCTTTCAAAATTTATAAAATTATGGTCAAACACTTGATTTTTGGTCCACCAACGAATTTTTGGATGGAAAACACCCAAAATGTCTTTCCACCGAACTTTTTTTTGTTTTTTGAAATCTACATGACGTATGTGCTATGAATTAAAGCTTTATGACCTATCTAAAACGTTTGGGACCTCCACTGCATAGTTCTCTAATTAATATATCTTAGATAAGCAATATTGAAAAAAAAATAAAAACGGGGTGAATAATTTGATTTTGTTTTAAGTGATTTTTAACTATGAAAACCTAAATCGAACCATTTTCAAATGATTTAGTTCAATTTTTGAACTGAAATGTTGACGAGTCCATGTTGACCCAAATTGAAAGGTCGTTTAAGCTTTTCCTGAAAGTATGACGCGGGTTATTTCAATGTCGTAGCGATTGGTGTTCAAACATTGGGACACCAAAGGTCTTTGCCCTTCATTTTGAAACACATCTTTGATTTGATTTTGATGATTTTTAGTTCACTATTGTTATCTGATATTGAAACCAAGAACGCACTTAGCAGGAAATCCAATTGTCCATCTTATTTTCTTATTACATGGTTGGTTTCAGAGCTCGATTTTGACTCGGGATGGTCGGTTGAAAATTTTTTGTTCATCGCTTCTATTGGATACCGAGTAGTAAATATCGAACCCGCCCTTAGCATTAATTTCAATTTTCCATTATTGTTAATTTCTTATTTTATGGTTTCAAAGTAGAGCTATAATTTTGGTGGACGAGTTGATGTTTTTTTTGTTTACTACTATGAATAATGTTATTTGCGTCGTACGTGACATCCTATGTGACAGTTTGTTATTTATTGCAGTCACTGACAATGAATAACATTACTCTCAATACTACTGTTTGAGACTAAATAAATAGCACACACTTGGCATTAAATTCAATTTTCCATCTTTAATTTCTAAGTCCGTTTTTGGTTTCAAAACAACGATTTTGTTTGGGTTGGCGGTTTTTTATTCACTCTTATTGTATACCGAACACATCATTGACATTAAATTCATTTTTCCATCCTTCTTCATTTCTAATTTTGAAATTGGTTTCAGAACCATGATCGAGTTGGCAGTATTATATTCACCATTATTGTTTGATACTGTTTGAGCCCCATTTTTTCTTCAAAAAATGCATTTTGTAATAGTGTTATTACAGAGTATGTGCGGTTAAAAAATAAGGAAAATGTTTGAATTTGCATGTAATATTATTTTATTAAAAAATGTGGTTGAAATGATGTCAAATCACCGCTCAAAAATACATTTTGATGAAAAAATGAGGCTCAAACAAGGGCTAGATATCGAACACGTCATTGACATTAAATCCAATTTTTCATCATTCTTAATGATGGATACCAAACATGCCCTTAATATTAAATTAAAGTTTCCATCTTAATTTCTTATTCCATAGTTGGTTTCAAAATTACAATTTTGTTTAGGGTTGGTTGGTTGATGGCTTCACTGCTATTGTTCAATGTTGAATACTGAACACGCTATTGACATTAAATTCTATTTTCCATCCTTTTTAATACTGAATACTGAACGTCCTTGGCATTAAATTCAATTTTCCATCTTAATTTCTTATTCCATGGTTTCAAAATTGCGGTTTTGCTTCGAGTTGGTTGGTTGAAGGTTTCACTACCAATGTCTAATACTAAATACCGATCACACTCTTGACATTAAATTCAATTTTCCATCCTTCGTAATACTGAATATCACACACGTACTTGGCATTAAATTCAATTTTCCATCTTAATTTCTTATCCCATGGTTTCAAAATTGTGCATATGCTTTAGGTTGGTCAGTTGACGATTTCACTGTTATTATCTGATATTGAATACCGAACACGCTATTAACATTAAATTCAATTTTCCATCTTTCTTAATACTGAATATTGAACACATCCTTAAAACTAAATTCAATTTCCCATCTTAATTTCTTTTTCCATAGTTGGTTTCAAAACTACGGTTTTGACTCAGGTTTTTGATTGACAGTTTCACTACTTTGTTTGACACTCAATATTAAACATGAACTTGAAATTCAATTCAATTTTAATTTGACTTGACGCCTTTTACTTTGTTTGACACTCAATATTAAACATGAACTTGAAATTAAATTCAATCTTCCATCCTTTAAAATATCAATTTTAATTCGACTTGACTCCTTTTTTTTTTTTTTGTCTCACCATTATTTTTTGATACTAGAACCATTGACATTAAATTCAAATTTCCATCCTTGTTAATTTCTTATCCCATCTTCCAAACATCCAATTTCTCTATCCTAGAGTTTTATTATTTCCAGCACGACACGACATTGTACGGCCATCACGTTTTAATCGCCGTATAAATACTAAACTCTCTCCTGATTCCATCTATATTAATTGCCCTCGAGGAAGCCCCAAAAATAACTAACGAGATGTCATTCACGAGTGCCGAATCACCGGCCGCCGCCGTTTGTGGTGGCGGAAACGATTCTGTTGGTAGCGATTCTGGTGAGATTATGTTGTTTGGGGTAAGAGTAAAAGTTGATCCCATGAGAAAAAGTGTTAGTATGAATAATCTTTCTGAATACGAGCCCGTTAATAACAACAACGATAACACTAATGCTAATAACAATGATAGTGAGTTGTTGAAGATGGCGGCGGCGAATGGTTATGCATCGGCAGATGAAGCCGTGCCGCAGCCAGGCAACGGGAGTCGGGAGCGTAAGCGAGGTCAGATCTCTGGTCATCTATTTGTCTGTTCAATTATCATTAGTTTAATAATTTATTTGATTGATTGTGTGATTCGTTTTCAGATTTTTTTTCATCTTGGAATACTTGAGTTATTGGCTAATTTACAATCGGATGATAAACGATGCTCTTTGAAGAATAAATTTTACGAACTGGTCTTGGAGTAGCTTGTCTGCTTGAGTAGAATTTATTTGAATGTTGATTATCGTGGTGAATAAATGTCTCATCAGATGATTTATTGCTTATGCAAAAAAAAAAAAAAAAATTCCAATCTTTGAATAATCGTTCTGTTATGAAGGTTGTTGATTTCAATATATTTCATAAGAAGTTATAATAATCCGATTTCAAGTCTTTATCGAAACTGTACCACGTAATTTCAAAAATAGTTTGATGCTACTATATATGCTACTTGAGAGAAAGCTTAGTTAGATTTGTTAAGTCAAATTTGTTTCCTCATTTATGGGATTTTTATCAACTTTGCTGTATTGATTTTGATCCATGTTGTATTGGTTTATGTATTTCTTTTAGGAGTTCCGTGGACTGAAGAAGAGCACAGGCTATTTCTCGTTGGATTGCAAAAGGTTGGAAAAGGAGACTGGAGAGGTATCTCTAGAAAATACGTTAAGACTCGTACACCAACCCAAGTTGCTAGTCATGCCCAGAAATACTTCCTTCGCCGGAACAATCTCAATCGGCGCCGCCGCCGTTCTAGTCTCTTTGATATCACCACTGATTCGGTAATTTTTGAGTAGATCTAATCACTTTTGTCTTTCAGTCTTTCTACGTGTTAGACAAATAATTTGATGTTATATTAGTTTGATTCAATTGATTTTCCATGTTGATAACGCATGTTTTTAAGTATTCTATCTGAGTTGTCACTGAAACTAACTTCAAAAAGTTTATGGGAGCATTGCTTTTCTACTTTATGAAAGATAAATGTCCCTGTTTGAAGTTAAAAAGTAACTACGGACCAAAGCTTTTGTGTTTTATGGGAGCATTGCTAGAGGACTATTTTTTGAAGTTTTGTTGATTGTGATTTTTGAGAGGATTCCGAATTTGTTGTTAAGAAGGCTTAGTTTGTTATTGTACTGAATTTGATAGTTTATTGATGGTTCATAATTATTTCATGGCTAGGTTACTCCAATGCCAAACAAAGAGGGTGGAAGCCATCAAGAAAGTGCAGCCCAGACAATTCTGCCATCAACCTCTTTGCCTTCTGCAGAAACCTCAAGTATCGGTGGTTTCTCTCTTGGGCCTTCCCCGATGACAATTGCTCCTGTTTTCTTACATCTACAACCTGAGAAATCCATGGAAAATATGATCCATGGCCAAGGCAATCACATGAATAACGTGTCGGATATGCTCATTCACCCAGTTCCTGCTGTTCTTCCGATGCATACTTCCTCAACAATGACAGACCTTGGCTTCAAGCAGAATGTGCCCCAACTGTCATTGGGGCTATCATTGTCATTGCATCAAGATCAGTCATCGACAAGGCACTCAGCATTCCAGGTGAAAACAAGCTTCGGAAATGGAGACGGCATAATTAGTGTTTCTTGAAGAATGAAGGAGCTTGAAAAAATAAAATTGAAGATAAAGGGTCCATCATAACTTATAGGTTCAAGTAAGAAATCAAAATGATTTGATTAAAAACAGATTAGGTAATGAATTTGACTACAGTCGATCATTGTCTCTGTACAGACCGGAAAAATATCATGCTTTGCTGTGTCTCTTTTTTTATATGCTAATATTTCAGATCCTTGCTTGTTTGTGATTGAGAATAAAGTTTTGGACAATTTGGCATACCCTTTGATTTGTTTTTCGGTTTATGCACAGAATATTCTAACCCAACAATGTGGTAGGGTTTCTTCTTCATGAATGTAACTGATATTGTTGGCTTGGTGCTTACTTTGTGGGAGATTATTTTTAGCTATTTTATGAATGTGGATTGAATTATGTCCTGATTAATATCAGGATAAGTTGTGGTAGGACCTTCACTTGCCTGTGGGTGGGATTCTAGATATTTTATAATATCCAGGATTTGATGTATGAGATAAGTAGATAATATTTTATTTTCACCTGTCCATTTACACTTATGGTGCCACTTGTTGCTGTCTGTATAACAACGCAAGTGACTATGAAGGTGTTTGAGCTCGGACTGCTGCCTAGTACAGTTCTTCCTAAGAACTTGAAGACCCTTTTCTTTAAATAGTAATGTTATTTAGCACTGTTGGTGTTACAACATTAGTCTAGGCGGCACACTACCGGTGTTACATCAGTCAAGGTGACACTGAGTGTCATTAAATGAATCACATAATTTTGCATTTAATTAAATATATCACATGCAACATAGACGAGGTGCTATATAGCATTATACTTCTTTTAATAGAAAAAAATGATGGCTTGCGAATATTAAATCTTTGTGCCAACTTATCTTGCACCCAATTTTTCACCCGGTTTCAACATGGATCCAAAGCCATATCAAATATCGTCATTCATGAATCTTTGGGTCTACGATAACCACCTAATTGTAGTTCCCCTTAGTTAAGGTGCAGGGCCGGCCATGATAATTTAGAGGCCGTAGGTGACTAATTATTATAAGACCCTTCAACATAATCATTTTTTTTACAAGTGTGGCAAAATAATTTTTTTTGAAAAGAGAATGAATAAATTTTCACCTGATATATTCAAAACTTCGTTACTTGATGAAAAAACAACAGTTCTATGTGAAAAAAATCGTGGTCTCCTTTGGGAAGGGGTACATGAGGGTTTCAATCCCAATGTACAAATAGCAAAATCCTATTTTTTTTTTTTGTTTCTAAACTCATTTTTAATCAATTATTCTTTTAAGTAAATTTATTTTAGAAGTCTAAAATTTTTCCATACTTTTCAATCTCACATTCCATAAAAAAATTGCTTTTTACAAAAGTTATTCTCAAAAAATAAGGTTCAAACATGCGTAAACTATTGCATTCGAATTGTTTTGAATTTGACGATGTTAAATGAATACTAGAGTGGGTAAAAATTAGTTGTTTTGCATAAATTTTTTATGTTAATTAGTTATGTATCTACACCTCTCAACTGTTGGCTAAAACTGTGTTTTTCATAATAAATTTCCCAATCTTTTCTCTAGTCCGAATAAGGATACCATTTTATTACACAAGTAATACTATTTATCATGATGATTATAGAATATCGGTAATGTGACAACCAATTATCCTTCACATTTTTCACTCACTCTCTCCCTCGTAAAAATGGAACTGTATAATCTTATTATTCCACGTAAACAGCCACGTCACCAATGTTTCATCGTCATAATAACAAATAGCATTATTCTTATTTCACCAGGCATGTAGAATATACAACAAAATTTTAAGAACTGTTTTCTATCAAGTATAAAAGAATTCTGTGAAATTCTATAGAAAAAATAAAGTAAAATATGACAAACAAAAAGTACAATGGTATCGAGACAACTTAATGTTTGACAATCTATGTTGATTTTAATCACCAGTAATCACCACAAGAACATAAACCACCCACGAAGTGGTGAAATCGGTTGCGGTCCCTTACAACTATTTTCGACCTGTGATTTTGGGTATGAGCTTAGTAACAACATGGAAATCTGGACACACTCGAAGGTTCTTGACAATTTTGATAGTAGTTCCCAGTTGAGTGCTAATAAGACCAAAAGCAATAGCAAGCCTTTCACTGTGAACCGCTAATGATTTCTCCTTTTCTGACTCTCCAATGTCATGCAACACTACTTCTGTGGTAAGTAACCATGAGCCTTAAGCCATCCATTTATCTCCTTCAGCATCTCATAAATTTCTTTACATTTTAGATGTTTCAAGTCACCAGCAAGAAACTCGTGCACCTTATTATTAACCTCGATTGAGCTACACCCGAGCTCCTTGCGTACTCCACTTTGCTTCATCATAGCCCTCACTCTTGCCACCCTATCCCAATTGCCTACTGAAGGATATAAATTCGAAAGAAGAACACAAGTTCCAGAATTTGAAAGGCCGCGTTCTATGAGGATTTCCACAATTTTCTCTCCCATGTGGATGTTCTTATGAAATGTACATGCACCTAGCAATGTTCCCCATAAAACCGAGTCAGCATCATTTTTCATGCTATTGACAAGCTTGTGAGCTTCTTCTAATTGTGCAGCTCGTCCTAGAAGATTGACCATACACCCATAATGTTCAACCTCGGGTTGAATCTCGTACTGATATTTCATTGAATTAAATAAACCCCATCCTTCGGAAACCAATCCAGCATGAGCACAAGCACTCAAAATTCCAATAAAGGTTATCTCAGTAGAGAGGAGGCCAATGCCACACATGTTGTTGAACAGCTCCAAAGCTTCTTGACTAAATCCGTGACTTGCATACCCTACTATCATCGAATTAAATGCAATAGCATCCTTGTCCTTGATCCCATCAAACACCATCCTTGCATCCTCCAAACTTCCACATTTGCAATACATATCAACCAAAGCACTACCTATCCGAGCATCTACTGGAATCCCATTATACTGCATGTGAGAATGAATCCACCGGCCCAACTCCAATGCTTCCACCTGCCCACAAGCAGAAAGAACTGCCAGCAGAGTTGCCTCATTAGGCTTCACCTTTGCCTTCAACATTTGCCTAAAGAAAATCAAAGCATCATTAGGTCTTACATTCTGATCATACCCATCAATCATCACATTCCAAGATACAACATCCCTCACCTCCATTCCATCAAACAACATTCTCGCCTCATCCAAAAGCCCATTCTTTGTGTACCTGGTTATCATTGCAGTCAAAGAAACCAAATTCCGCTCGGGCATTGTGTCAAAAAGTTTACGAGCTGAGATAATATCCCCACCTTTTGTATAAACATCCACCAGAGCAGTTCTCACGTAAATATCAAACTCCCGGCCAAGTTTAAGTACTTGGCAATAGAGGGATTTCCCAGATTCCAACGGGCAAGCTTTGAGGACAGCGGACAATGTGAATGCATTAGGTTCCACGTCTTTAGATGGCATTTGCATATAGAAAAGAAAAGCTCGTTTGTGGAGATCATTTATGGCATGGCCATGGATAATGGCAGTGTAAAAGTAAACAATAGGATTTTGGGTGCGATTAAAAAGAGACACAGAATGTTCAAGATGGCCTAGAGAACAATATGAGCGCAGGAGCTTGAAATTCAAGACTGGATGGTTTTCCAGACTATGACGAATTACAAACGCATGGATTTCGCTTAGGGGTTTGATAGATTTGCTTTTGTCTATGAGCAATGCCAGTCTTTCTGGCTGTAGAGAGTTAGTTTGCTTGGTGTTCAGGTGTAGAGGTAGAACGGTAGAGTGGATATTGACGACATGACTTCACTCTTCAATAACTAGATCATTTCTGATATTTTCACTTCATGGGACACTCAGCATAACTTAGTGGTACTTTCCAAGACATAAAAATTATTGGATAGCAGCCCAACATTTAATTTGATACCTGCAACTTCTTTAAGTATACACAATCAGAAAGCAAATTGAAGAACTCCTAACATGTTTGGAATTGTTTAAATTATAAATTGAGTTGGTCAAACCAACTTTTTATCCGCTCATTCTTGTAGCACCCATAACTATTACCTACTTATCCACTACTTATTTATATCAATTTATAAACAATCCTAAAAGAAACAACCTAAAGAAATCTACGTGTCACCAAGGAAAACAAATGCAATCATATGGAATTTGATCGATTCAATGGCTAAGGTATAAATTCCAAAAGTAAACACGATGACAAAAAAGGTTACCGTTCGATGGCCACTTCCATGTCATATATAAAGACAGACACAAGGAAAGCATATTTAGTTTTGAGAAACAAGAAGTACACCTCTACAATGACAACATATTAACCTCGATTGAGCTACACCCGGGCTCCTTGCGTACTCCACTTTGCTTCATCATAGCCCTCACTCTTGCCACCCTATCCCAATTGCCTACTGAAGCATATAAATTCGAAAGAAGAACATAAGTTCCAGAATTTGAAAGGTCGCGTTCTATGAGGATTTCCACAATTTTCTCTTCCATGTGGATGTTCTTATGAAATGTACATGCACCTAGCAATGTTCCCCATAAAATCGGGTCAGCATAATTTTTCATGCTATTGACAAGCTTGTGAGCTTCTTATAATTGTGCAGCTCGTCCTAGAAGATTGACCATACACCCGTAATGTTCAACCTCTGGTTGAATCTCGTACTGATATTTCATTGAATTAAATAAACCCCATCCTTCGGAAACCAATTCAGCATGAGCACAAGCACTCAAAATTCCAATAAAGGTTATCTCAGTAGGGAGGAGGCCAATGCCACACATGTTGTTGAACAACTCCAAAGCTTCTTGACTAAATCCGTGACTTGCATACGCTACTATCATTGAATTAAATGCAACATCATCCTTGTCCTTGATCCCATCAAACACCGTCCTTGCATCCTCCAAACTTCCACATTTGCAATACATATCAACCAAAGCACTACCCATCCGAGCATCTACTGGAATCCCATTATACTGCATGTGAGAATGAATCCACCGGCCCAACTCCAATGCTTCCACCTGCCCACAAGCAGAAAGAACTGCCAGCAGAGTTGCCTTATTAGGCTTCACATTTGCCTAAATAGAATCAAAGCATCATTAGGTCTTACATTCTGATCATACCCATCAATCATCACATCCCAAGATACAACATCCCTCACCTCCATTCCATCAAACAGCATTCTCGCCTCATCCAAAAGCCCATTCTTTGTGTACCTGGTTATCATTGCAATCAAGGAAACCAAATTCCGCTCAGGCATTGTGTCAAAAAGTTTACGAGCTGAGATAATATCCCCACCTTTTGTATAAACATCCACCAGAGCAATTCTCACGTAAATATCAAACTCCCGGCCAAGTTTAAGCACTTGGCAATAGAGGGATTTCCCAGATTCCGACGGGCAAGCTTTGAGGACAGCGGACAATGTGAATGCATTAGGTTCCACGTCTTTAGATAGCATTTCAATATAGAAAAGAAAAGCTCGTTTGTGGAGATCATTTATGGCATGGCCATGGATAATGGCAGTGTAAAAGTAAACAATAGGATTTTGGGTGCGATTAAAGAGAAACACAGAATGTTCAAGATGGCCTAGAGAACAATATGAGCGCAGGATCTTGAAATTCAAGACTGGATGGTTTTCCAGACCATGACGAATTACAAACGCATGGATTTGGCTTAGGGGTTTGATAGATTTGCTTTTGTCTATGAGCAATGCCAGTCTTTCTGGCTGTAGAGAGTTAGTTTGCTTGGTGTTCAGGTGTAGAGGTAGAACGGTAGAGTGGATACATGACTTCACTCTTCAATAACTAGATCATTTATGATATTTTCACTTCATGGGACACTCAGCACAACTTAGCGGTACTTTCCAAGACATAAAAATTATTGGATAGCAGCCCCAACATTTAATTTGATACCTGCAACTTCTTTAAGTATACACAATCAGAAAGCAAATTGAAGAACTCGTAACATGTTTGGAATTGTTTAAATTATAAATTGAGTTGGTCAAACCAACTTTTTATTCGCTCATTCTTGTAGCACCCATAACTATTACCTACTTATCCACTACTTATTTATATCAATTTATAAACAATCCTAAAAGAAACAACCTAAAGAAATCTACGCGTCACAAAGGAAAACAAATGCAATCATATGGAATTTGATCGATTCAATGGCTGAGGTATAAATTCCAAAAGTAAACACGATGACAAAAAAGGTTACCGTTCGATGGCCACTTCCATTTCATATATAAAGACGGACACAAGGAAAGCATATTTAGTTTTGAGAAACACGAAGTACACCTCTACAATGACAACATAACTATGTATATTATTTTCCAACATTGAGAAGATTACAGAATCAGAATAGGTTTTTACGAAGTAGCTAGAGTTCAAAATATTATACATACACTTCATGTATATATGAATGGAAAAGCTACCAAGTTTTGTAGCTGCTGATTGGATGGCGAACGAAGGGTATAGAACTATAAACAGTAAAGTAATGGAAAACAAAGATTCATAATGAATTATGGTTATGATTCTAAAAACTAGCAAAAGGGAATTCCTTGCGTAAAGTAAAAGAGAAGATGGACAGGAAGCATGAAATTACAATTTACAAATGAATTTATACATGGCAAATATTAGACTATTCAAGGCTACACGAAAATGACCATAGCAGTATGATTACAGAAGAATCATTTAAAATGCGTAACCTCCTGCCTGGTTTTTTAAAACTTGATGCATTGAAGAAATATGTGGGAAGTATGGACTCCATATGTAATCAATCTCATTTCTAGAACATGATTAACAAACTAAGCAATCAAACGCTACATTTTTTTGACATTTTAATTTTTTTTAATAAAACCTTTCCGTCACCAAGGTCCTCCTTTCCCCCAACAACACCATTAGGCCCATATGCACATATTGAAATCAAATCAAGAATTAATCCACATAATCAACAGAAATTAATATTCTTAACTCTACTGTATAAATAATTATACATAAAAGTAGTTGTGCAAGTAAAGGACTTTTGAACCAGATAGTTCTGAATCGTTCAAAATTATGATTGTTTGACTTAGCTTAGCTTCAGAGTTCAATCGGAACTTAGTTAATTAATGAATGCCCTTTTAAATAAGCTTTTTAATGTAGTATAAGCTTGAAAATAAATCTCTCTCCGACTGGCCTATTACCTTTCCCACAACCCAGTTCCAACATCACAAATCACTATCAGTTAACAATTCAAAATCAAATCGAGAAATCCAAACTCTTAAAAAATTTGGGAGAAAGACCCATAAGTATAACACATCAATATTCAAATTGAGAATGCAAAAGCCAAAAGCAAACACATATGGATAAAGTCTCTAAGTGTGATTGATATCTTACCCCAAATCTTGTAGTCCACTGTCCACGTTTGAGAGTGTTGAAGAAGCCGACTAGCCGTGGTAGGCGTAGCCGAGAAGTTCGGAGAAGAAGACTGAAGACCGAAGAGCTGAATGTTGAAGACGATAAGGAAATAGCCAAATAGGAACCTTCAAACGTTTTTTATTGGACCTGATTGGGCTTCTTAGGCTTTTTTTTTGTGGCCCCTTAAATTTTGAGGCCCAAAGCAGTGGCCTTACTTGCCTTGGGCCAGGGCCAGCCCTATTCAGGTGTCTTCTATTAAATTAACTTGATCCTAAAATTACTTTTTGTAACACTATAAAATGTTGGACCCGATTCAAGTAGCTGCCCAATAAGTATTGAAGACAAAAGTTAAACAGTCAACTTCAGGGACCACTCTGTCANTTCCCACAACCCAGTTCCAACATCACAAATCACTATCAGTTAACAATTCAAAATCAAATCGAGAAATCCAAACTCTTAAAAAATTTGGGAGAAAGACCCATAAGTATAACACATCAATATTCAAATTGAGAATGCAAAAGCCAAAAGCAAACACATATGGATAAAGTCTCTGAGTGTGATTGATATCTTACACCAAATCTTGTAGTCCACTGTCCACGTTTGAGAGTGTTGAAGAAGCCGACTAGCCGTGGTAGGCATAGCCGAGAAGTTCGGAGAAGAAGACTGAAGAACGAAGAGTTGAATGTTGAAAACGATAAGGAAATAGCCAAATAGGAACCTTCAAACATTTTTTATTGGACCTGATTGGGCTTCTTAGGCTTTTTTTTTTGTGGCCCCTTAAATTTTGAGGCCCAAAGCAGTGGCCTTACTTGCCTTGGGCCAGGGCCAGCCCTATTCAGGTGTCTTCTATTAAATTAACTTGATCCTAAAATTACTTTTTCTAACACTATAAAATGTTGGACCTGATTCAAGTAGCTGCCCAATAAGTATTGAAGACAAAAGTTAAACTGTCAACTTCAGGGACCACTCTGTCATGATCCAAAAATTACTTTTTGTAACTCTATAATATGTTGGACCCGATTCAAGTAGCTGCCCAATAAGTATTGATGACAAAAGTTAAACAGTCTACTTCAGGGACCACTCTGTCAGCAAATATTAGCGTACATAATCAAAAGAACTGCAGCAAGTTTGGAGTAAATATATTCAAATTAAGCCACAATACACTGATAGTTTCTTGTCTGAAGAAAGATAAAACGAATTGACAAGGTCAATACAACTTAAAAGGTCTTCCATGCACTGATTTGAAACTTCTTGTTCATTCAGAAGAAAGCCATGGATTAGGTGCTATATAAGTATACCCTTGAAAATGCTCGCCTGCAGTTGGTGTAGCAGCCGGTGAGTCATCCAGAGGCATTGCAGTCCAACATTTATCAAAATTGGCCGTGCAATCTTTGCCACTCACATCTGGCTTGAACTTGGGCTGTAATTCTCGGGTCTCTATCTTTTTCCAGTTTACTGTCCGAAACCACTTATGACATTTGATCTCGTCTGCTCCCTTAGGCCCACTTCCTAGCCTTTTCAACGGATCCTTATGTAGCAACTGCAGAAATAATGACGACTTAAGAGGTACGCAAATGATGTGAAAGGCAATAAATCGGGTGAAAATGTCGTCACATACTCCTTTAAGCAAAGAATGAACCTCACTGCTCAGTCGAGGGGGAAGCTTCACTTTTTCATTGATGATTTTTTCCTGAAGCTTCTTTCTGTTTGGATGTGTGAATGGCGGCTGAAAAGAATATAATAGTTATGGTTTCATGAGAAAGAATCAAAATTAAAAGATTTTTCCTAAAAGATCCTACTTTGTGCTAAACATCAGAAACAAACCCAGGGCCATGGCTAAAATCAAGCACTTCCCTCGTGTTTTCAAATTAAGCAAACATTTTAGTCCCAAACTCTAGATTCCACCGCTGACTGAATTTTATAATCTGTGCACTTCCAATTTTGTCAAACATCGCCAAATATTACCAACAACCATAATAAATTATGAGACAAATATTTGGTTTTTTGAACAAGTTACTAAAACCCCCTTTATTGACCAATCGTTAACGGCATTACCTTGCCACTAAGCATTTCATACAAAAGGATCCCTACACTCCACCAATCTGCATTTTTATTGTGGCCTTTAGCGAGCAAGATTTCTGGAGCCATGTACTCTGTTGTTCCACACATTGAATTTGATCTACTTGATTCATCAATCTCCTTGGCCAGTCCAAAATCAGTTAACATAACCTGAAGAGAAGTACTAAAATTAGTAAAGAAAATCCACTTAAACACTTAGATGGAAGAATCCATTATCATGTTATGCACAATATGTATGCCGGCAAATACATCAGTTAGGGCACAGCCATACATGCCCATCAGCATCCATGAGAACATTTTCGGGTTTTAGATCTCGATGCATAATCCCGTTCTTGTGAAGATGAGAAACAGCAGATACTATCTCAGCGGTATAAACCCTTGCCTGATCCTCACTAATTAAGACATAGCCGAACAGTAATTAAGTGAATGAACCCATATTATTTTCAGTTGTTAAAATAAGTGTAAATATTACCTGAAAATTCCTTGTCTGTACAGATGATAGAAGAGATGTCCTCCATTCATGAAATCAAGGATTAAATACAGCTTAGACTTGGTCTGTATGATGTTGAAAGTAAAATTGTAAGGAGACAAGAAAATGGATGCCTAGGACAAGATACATACACATGTACCACACACAAAAAGCAAGAAGGGAGGAGATTTGTTCAGAAATGTAGAGGTCTCTCCAATCAATATCAAAAGGAAACCACATGAATCCATGGGCAACATATGCTTGAATAAACAAAAGTTTGGTCAATCCATTGTAAAACAGGAACTCAACCTCCGACCTCCACCCTGCCCACAAACTTAAAAAAAGAATTTATATATATATATTGGCAACAATATTTGTTTAAAATACCCTTCAGGGCTGTTACCATATGACTAGAGGATTCACAATTTCAGACCACTTCAACACTTGTCATGAAGTGTTGTATGGAAACGTTAAAGATTGAAACAGGGACCATAATTTTTTTCCCATTGAAGTACTACTAAAGCTCGCTAGCAATAGGGTTCTTTCAGTAAAACTTCGGGTCTTGTTGATTGTAGCACGAAAGACTTTCATGCCAGAAAAACATTCTCTATACAAGATGTTGTCACAAACTATCCATCTCTCAAATTTTTGACAACCAATATGGATATTGAGCTATTTCAACGCATAAATGCTTTTCCTAACCACTGCTCCACACCACCTTTTTGATCACTTCCCCAATACGACCACCAAAATCAGCTCCAAACCAAATAAATTGTTGAAGTATAAGCTATGATAAAGTTAATGATGGTCAAAGAGTTAGTGGTTCTACTAATAGCTGTGGAGGAAGCTGTGGTAGTTGGTAGTAGACTGCTAATTGTAGCCAATTGTTCAAGTTTTAACTAGAGAGAACGAAATTGAAGCAAAATAGCTATTAAATGACAACTTCAGATAAATGTCATAAATATTGATTTTAGTAAGCTAAAACAAAATCCATTTCCCTTGACAGTTTTCCCCATAAAGTGCTATCCTAATTCAATTAGGCACCAATAGATGTGGTAAATGTTTTGATAAAGTTGTTTGTGCCCGTAAAAATCAAGGCTTAATACGTTATAATAGATGCTATGGGCATATCTCCGCTTCCACTAACTGGAAAACTAACATTTTTTTTATTCTAATGTTATCTATAAGAGATGAAAACATCTAAAACATAATCTGGTTACTAGGGAACAATTTTCCCATGTAGAGTCGTAAATTGATATGGTCATTCACAATCACAAATGTACTGAGCTAGGCACTAGCAATCTGTAACGGCAAATTCTACAACCCAACAATTTTCATTAGAGGCATAGTTAATCACTGTGAGTAAAAATGTTAGAAAAACGAAAGGGTAATAAATGGAACAACATTTTTACAAGCAGATAGGTAAACTCTCTCTGACCACTTTTTTATCCCTCAGAAAATCCAGTTACATCATTCAAAATGCCTCCAAAAATATCCATTGTGCAATCTAATGAAGCCACATGAACTCCCCACATATTTTGAAGAACTTTTCAGTTTATTTATGAAGAGAAATCCATAGTGAATTGATCCAGTGGCCTTAAAACACTAAAATTCCAAACTGGCATTAGCTATTTATATGCAACCAACCTTACAAATCAAAATCAACTCATCTGTCCTTTTCTCTCTTCAAATAAAAATAAAGTACAAGTTCAGAGCTACAATATAAATCAATCAGCAAGTCACAAATCTAGGTAATAAATTGAGCAAAACTTACCTGAAAGGAGTATCTGAGTTGAACAATGAACGGATGCACCACTTTGGTGAGAATATCCCTCTCAGCTCGCATATAATCCACGTGTTTATTCTTGATTATAGTGTCCTTCCTCATCACTTTCATCGCAAAAATTCCATCTCCATCGGTTCCACCGGTACCCTTTTTCCTCACCTGAAACACCTTTCCAAATGCACCCTTCCCAATCACCCTCATAATCTCGAAATCCGCGGGGCCCAATTTTCTGGTCACCTCCTTTTCACCACCTTCCTTATCCATCCCATCATCACTGTGCAAATCATTGGTACCATCATTTTCAGTTTTTTTCACTTGGGCATTCCCATTATTGTCATCAGACGAAGAATAGCAGAATTCTTCTTGTTCTTGGTTAGAAAAAGGGGGGATGGACTTGGAGAGGGTGTAACGAGGCGAGGGGCCCACGAAGGAGTGGGACCGATGGTGTATGACTTGTGGGTCCCCTAGAAAAAGTGAAGACGAAGAGGAGGAAGGCGATGAGGTGGAAGTTACGAAGAGGTCGGAGAAATCAAAATCCGGTGCAGGATCAGTTGACGAAGAAGAGGCTGGGATGTGGAGGTGGGTGAGCTTAGAGGCTAAAATTGAGTGAAGGGCCTTCTTCTGTTGCTGGGATGCTGCCGAAGAAATCACGTTCCCGATATTCATGGCGGAATCAAATTAAATTTTTCACTCTGAGAGATGAAATTACAGTTTGTGGTGGCCAAAATTGTACAAGGCGGCTGAGATCTTACATGGGGTTACATTTTGGATGTGTGTTGGGGGAATGGATCTGCGACTGCTTGCCGAAATGAGGGGTGGGTGGGTGTGACGGTGGAAGTGAAAGGTGACTGATTTTACATTCAATCACTTGCACGTGGGGATAAACATGAGTATTCAGCTTTGGTCAATCTTCACCATCTTCCTTATTTTTAAAGAATAAATTTTGTAAAAAAAATAATATTTTGGAGAATTCGGTTAAAATATAAAAAAAAAAATTATAAAATCCACTTGTAAAATTTGTAGTAATTAGCTTATGGAATGATAAAGAAAACAATAATACTATGTAGCTCCAGTGGGATTGCATCCCCAATCTAGATGTCATTAAATGATTGGCTAAATGGTATGTGAAATTAAATGACTTATTTAATTTCACGTATCATTTAATGTCACATTAACGTCATCTAGACTGGAGATGCAACTCCAGTGAAAATGAATAACATTGCTCTAAAAAAAAACAAATCAAAGAAATACCCTTGTAATTTATTTTTAAGAAGCTAATGCACTACTGTTAATATGGTCTTCTTATATAAATGCTTTTTTTTTTTTATCTCATTATCTTTGGAGTGGAAGTTCTCGCCCCTGCTTACTTGACTGTCTTCTGTAATGGAAGTGTGTGTTGTCTGCTTTCTTGGGCGGGCGTGTTTGATAAATGGTAATTCAAGTGTCTGTATCTGCTTTCTTGAGTGCCTTAGGTATGTGAGCACATGAGAGTAATTTCTATTGATCAGCCAATTGCAATTTCATTATCTCTGGGTTTCATCTTTCTTTGTTGGTAAAATTAGTTGATAATTTGATGACTTCTCATGTTTTATCATTACTAGAAAGGGATGTATTTTCCATCATATCAATAACTTTTTCCTTCTTTTTTAACCACATATTCTCCATCAATCTACTATTCCAAAATACATTCTTCCAAAATAATATCGATCAAACACACCCTTAATGAAGTTGTGTATACAATTTGGACTCAAATTTAATCTTTGTTACGATGTTTTCTTGGCACTATTTTGCATGAATTTTTGACAAAATGAGTGAAAATACATCTAACTTTATTATTTATTTCAAGAAGTAGATTATTTTTTGGATAGCTAAACTGTGACCAAAGAAGCAAACTTCTTGTTTATGGATCAATTATTTTGTAATATTTTAATTCATTATTTTGGAATAGCAGTTTACAGTTTGGCATATTGTATTGGATCGCACTCAAGATATTTATTTATTGAATTGAAAAAAAACATGATTATATACGTGTTTATGTATTTAAGTATGTTCTTTAATCATTTAGGTTTGGTATTCAAATAAATAAATATTCTTTTTTTAAAATTAAATGGACATTTACGGCGTGCAATTAAAGTACGTCGTAGAAAATATCATCTTTTTACGGCATGCATCTGTCGTAGATTAATCGATTGTGTTGTTAGAAGTATGTGTATGTTAAGGTATAGATTCATAAGAAAAGTTGCAAATATGGATGAAAACTTGGAATTTTGAAATCGGAAATCTCAAAAGTCAACAAAATGGAAATTTTGAGACATTTAACAACAAAAGCTATTCGGGTATGCAAAGAGTCTCATTGTGGAAAAACTTTACATATTTATCTTACAAGTAATACTATTTGGCACCATTGGTATTAAAACGCTAATTTAGGTGACACTAATGTGGTATTAAATGAGACGTACTATTAAATGGGTTACTTAATTCCACATTTCATTGAGTCTATTATATAGCATCATCTAGATTGGTACAGTCCAAGTGGTGGTGCTAGATAGAATTAGTCTTCACTTAGCTGTAGAACAAGGACTAGCGAAAATTGAATCCAACTAAAGAGACAAGGACCATTCCTTTTCATCTAGCTTTTATAGCCATTCAATGTTTGTGCAAGGCACTTGAGATATTAGGATGCTACATATAATCTTGGGTGAATTCATTTTTTAAACTGAAGAGACGATGTTCTTGTCTTCTTTGAACAGTCTCATTCAGAAGTAGTTGGCCTTTGAGCTCTTCCTTGCCAATTGCGATCATGCCTAGTACTTTTTAACATTGTAATCTTCAATCCATCTATGATTCTCTATGTACCATAGTATTCGAATATGAATTGTTTCAAGCATGCATGAAAGATTGTGCGCATCTTCGTATTGAAGTGATGTATACCAGTCATCTTTGTATGAAGAAACTCATCAACTGTTGATCGGGTGAAAAATCCAGTCCATAAGCGCAATGACAAATTTCCCAATTGGTTCGCGAAGCAAAGAGCATTCGACCCCACATCCTTCATGTAAGAGAGGGGCGAGCAAAAAATTCTATATGTCTCGTGGCAAAGGGTCAACATCACATGAGCAAAAACCGTTAGAAGTTCAAAATATAACTAAGCAAGAATCACTAATTGACAACAACCTCGGAAATAAGTAGGTGACACATGTACGAAAGATTTAAAAGGTCTGAAATAAAGTGTAGTTACTTGATTGATCAAAATTGAAATACAATTATCTTGATTGACATTAGAGTAAAAATTGAGTCATCGAGAATGAAATTCTCCCTTTTCTTTTTCATTTTTTGGCTTCTTTTGGAAGGAAATGGACACAGACCAATAGAAAATAACCTTTGACAAAATACAATGTGCAAGGCAAGTGAAAATTGATATATTCTATCGCTAATTTGCACTCAAAATAAAACTTCAAAGGTTTAAAAACCATAAAAGATATATAGGAGACACGTGCTTTATTTGAAAGAATTTGAGGATTGAAACTATAAATTTCCCTTATTGTTATCTAAAACTATTGTTTTCAAAGCATGAATCGTGACTAGACCCAAAGTCAAGCTTTGCATCTAAACGCACTTTTAGAATTTCGTGCATAAAAAATAAAAGTTTGAAACAATTAACATGTCAAGGGCTAATGTCATATGTTGACAATGAACTTTCAATGAAATCTCAAATAGGCTATCCAATTTTAATTTTGTCCCTTTCACATAACCCAACTTCAAGTTATGTTCAGTGTTAGTCACTTAATTTCAAAATACTACGTGACTGTTAAAAATTGATAGCAAGTTGATGTGTCTTGCTTTCAAGTTAAATATGCAACCTAATCGTGTAGAGGTTATAAAATTTAAAAGTAAATTGTGTTTAAAGGACAATATTCCTATTGATAGAGCATTACTCAAAGGTCATAGCTCTATTCATCCCCTAATTTCACGATTTAACACCAACCATTATGATTATGTGGCATATTTATTTTGAAACCAGGGCCAACATAGGATTGGGACGTTTAAGTTTGGTAATAAAGGTTGACGAAGTTATTAAAATTATAAATCACAGGCTGAAACATGTGAAATCAAAGGGCATTACTTGAATGCTATTGCGGGTACATGCGAAGAAATGATTAAAAGAGCTGTATTTGCTAGAGAATTTAAAATAATTTGAAGCTCAATAATCTAATTACGACAAATTAAAGTTAAGTGGCCTAATTGAAATTTCATTAGAAGTTCAATGGCCAAATATGAAATTAACCCTTAATTGGAATACAGTGACTCCACATAAAGTAATTCCCAATTTAGATTGTAAAATTCCTAGATAAATTGGAATATTAACCTTAGCAAACAATTGATTTCTGGATTAATTACATCAATGGTCATTGAAGTTTTGAGTGCTTATGTCAATGGTTATTAAAGTTATTTTTTTAAGGTAATAGTCAGTTACATTTTTTAAGATTGCACTAATAGTCACTGGATTAAAAGCATTAATTTTCAATTTTACGTGACGCTGGTTAAGTTCCAACACATCACCAAAGAGCGTTATTTATTATGTCAAGTTAGTGAAAATCACTTTTAGGAAAATGGGTTTCCAAGTTGGGTCTACAAATAAATTTTGACAAACAAAATCTTAATTTATCAAACGATATTGATATGGATCAATGTATTGAAAAAAAAACTTAAAAAGTACGACGACTATTCAAATATTTTTTTGAAGTTCAGTAATTGTTGATAAATAACTTTAAAGTGCGGTTACTATTCAAAAAAATTTAAAGATAAATGAAGGTGTAAAATAACGTTTTCTACCTGTAAAAATTCAGTTGTCATCATATCATATGAACGATTGAAGTATATTATAGAAATTCAGTTGTCATTATATTATATCATATGCACGTGCATTATATATTTGATTAATTTAAGTATATCCCTTTTACTTATCTTATGTACATACTATTAAGTTGAAACGAGCGACTACTTATACCATAACTATCAATAATATAAGCAACTTTTATTTCGAGCAAGCATTTACCTTCTTAAATGTATATTTCATATTAACCTAAGCATCACAACAAATAAAATTCCTCTTTACCAATAAACAAGCTAATATTACCTTCAAGAAAATACAAACCATGCAATTGCATGGGCAAAGCAGTAGTCATTACATTTTAAAGATGTGGAAATTACACCCCACCCTATCTTTGGAGATATCAATTCTAAAATCAGGTGAGATACTTTTTCTTTCAAAAATCAGAAGTTTTATTTTAATTAATATTTTTATAAAATAATAATATTTACCAACCCTAACCCCTCTCTGTCTCCATTTCT